ACACTGCATGTCAAATACTGCACTATTATTCCAACAAATAAGCCAGTTTCATACCAATTTATACACACATAATAGCTATATACAGAGAGAGAAATTAAGGAATGCATAACTGAAGTAGAAATACATTTAATGAAGGATGAAGCATATTCAAATAAGCAGTTGATGGGAGTTCCTCTGCATTTGGTTCAAGTTATAACTAAACTGGCACAAACTTCTAACTTAATTCACAGTTTACAAAAAGGAAGCAGCAGAACTTTAACTGAGTGACTGGAATACAGATTGTAAAGTTTAGGCAAAGTGAAGAGTCCAACAATGAAAAGATGTCACCATCTGACAGCAGTTTGATAGCAATGGTCCCTTTCTTTCCACATCAACAAATGTTTCCATATGAAAACCCCCCACTATCATGGTTTGCATCATTTGGCACAATTTTTGGCAGCCTCAGAAGAAAAGTTGAGGACTGAATGGAAACAGAGAGCCCGCTACTCCCTCATTTCTAATGATGGCTCCTCTACATCAGGATGAGATACATGCTGGCAGTGTATAAATACAAGGAATAAAAGGAAGTCAGTACTCTATCTTTTCCTTTTTAAATGCTCAAGGGAGAAATAAAAGACGGGGGATTTCAAAACTGCTACTTTGTAATCTTTAAATGATACCATCTTAACTTTATAAAAAACAGCAAGGCTCAAATGGATTAGTCAGTTCCTTATGGTGTGACTGCACACTGCAAAGTGTTTTATGATTGTATATTTAAATATGAGTCAAAGGTGCTACGGGCTTTAGCTACGTGCTTTTTAATTTTTTAGCTAAATCATACATGAAAATAAAGAAAAATTAAAAATGTTCTTGTAACATCAGTTAAATTGAGTATCACTTTTATCACTTTCATTGTTTACAATGAGGCATTCAAAGACAGAATAGTAACTAATGGAAGTCTGCTCTGTCTGATTAATCCTGCTTTACATCTTTCAATGTTTCTTTTGCAAAAGCAAATAAAGATAGATTTTTAAATAAATAGATGAAGAGTTCAGATTATACAATTAAAATGAGAGAGTGATGCTCGTTAAGCTAATAATGGCTATTGGTTTGTAACTTTAAACTGGTATTTGGAAGACTCTCAGGAAAAATGGACCAGCTACAATCAATATGCCACCCCTCTATGTAATTTGTAGAGGGTCAAATAAAATATTTGAGAAAATATCAGTTCAGTATCTTCGCTTTAGTTGTTGAAACAATTTGTTGGAAACAAGGGCTGTCATTTTATATATTCTTGATTTAATACATTTTTTAAATTTAATATTTATATGATTTATTTTTATTCAATAATTCTATGTTTAATATATTCTTCATCAGGTTTATTTCCCCATCCCCATCAATCTCAAACATCAAGAATCTGGTCTATTTTTCAGATTGAAATTTCCAATAATTTACCAGACTTGGTTATGAACATCTATCGAAAAATGGCTATTTTTACATCTCAATCTGAAAATTCTCACAAGGAGTATCTGTTTCAATATTATCAGAACATGTGTTAACTGTCAATTCATCTTCATGTGTGAAAGCATGGAGAGTACTTTTTCTCTCTCTTTTCTTTCTGTTGTTACAAAGGGATCAAAATAAATCTTACCCTGAAGAGGCCCGCCACAATAAACCACACATCAGCAGACCAAGAATTAGAAATAAAGCTAAAGGAAAGACTGTTAGCTGCCACCCTAACAATATGAACTTTACAACCTATAACCATTAAGAGGGCAATCTGTTTGCTCACACACATGCACACAATATCCGCCATTTAATACCAAAATACACACAGGAGCATCAAGAGAGTAGGTTTCAAAACAGTCCTATATATAACAGTAATTAATAATTTGTATTAGTTACAACATTTTTATTTAAACAAACAGAACTGGCACCCAAATTTTCAAGGAGATCTAACTATATGGTAATTTAAAAGGACAGTAACAGGCCTGTTTGAATTAGAGAGAAAATATCAGGCAAAAGTCAAATTTTCAAATCAAGTAGGGTTGCCAACTTTCTACTCGCAGAAAACCGAACACCCTTGCCCCGCCTCTTCTCCAAGGCCCTTCCCCTGTTCATTCCATCCCCCCTCCCTCTGTCGCTTGCTCTCCCCACCTCACTCACTCGCTCATTTTCACCGGGGTGGCTCAAGGGGTTGGAGTGCAGGAGGGGGTGAGGGCTCTGGCTGGGGTTGTGGGCTCCAGGGTGGGGCTAGAAATGAGGAGTGGGGCTCCAGGCTGAGACAGTGGATTGGGATGAGGGAGGGTGTGAGAGATCTGGCTGGGGTGGGGCTAGGAATGAGGGGTTTGAGGTGCAGGAGGGGGCTCCAGGCTGGGGGTGGAGCCGAGGGGTTTGGAGAATGGGAGGGGACTCCGGGCTGAGGCAGGGGGTTGGGGTGTGGGCGGGGGGGGTGAGGGCTCCGAGGTGGGGCTGGGGATGAGGGGTTTTGGGTGTAGGAGGGTGCTCTGGGCTGGGACCAAAGGGTTCAGAGGGTGGGGGATGGATCAGGGCAGGGGAGGGGGTTGGGGCCCAGGGAGGGTGAGGGCTCCAGGGTGCAGGAGGGGGCTCCGCGCTGGGACCAAGGGGTTCAGAGGGTGGGGTGTGGATCAGGGCTGGGGCAAGGCTGGGGATGAGGAGTTTGGGGCACAGGAGCGGGCTCCAGGCTGGGATCAAGGGGTTCGGAGGGCAGGAGGAGGATCAGGGCTGGGGCAGGGGTACAGGCTCCGGGCAGAGCTTATCTCAAGCAGCTCCCAGAAGCAGTGGCATGTCCCCCTCTCCGGCTCCTACGTGGAGGTGCGGCCAGGCAGCTCTGCGCGCTGCCCCATCCGCAGGCGCTGCCCCCGCATCTTCCATTGACCACGGTTCCTAGCCAATAGGAGCTGCGGAGCCGGCGCTTGGGGAAGGGGCAGTGTGCAGAGCCCCCTGGCTGTCCCTACGTGTAGGAGTCAGAGGGGGGACATGCCGCTGCTTCCGGGAGCTGCGCAGAGCCTGCCTTAGCCCCTCTGCACAGCCGGCCTGACTTTTAATGGCCTGGTGAGTGGTGCTGACCAGAGCCGCCAGGGTCCCTTTTCGACCGGGCGTTCCGGTCGAAATCCGGACACCTGGCAACCCTAAATCAGGGTTTATTTTATAATCAGGTAAATTTATTTTCTATATTATACGAAACAAACTATATGATGAATTTCCTCCAAACCTTATAGAAACATTCTATGTATCAGAGTAGCAGCCATGTTTATTGCTTTTTACAGATCCAGACTGAGAGTCCTGTGGCACCTTTAAGACTAACAGATGTATTGGAGCATAAGCTTTCGTGGGTGAATGCCCACTTCGTCGGATGCATCCG